ATTGCAATCTGGGACAAACAAGCTGTGGCAAAACCATAGGCAAGTCAGGGAAAAAAGTAAAGGGATTTTTTTTTTTTTTTTAAGGAGAAAAGGGGTAAGTTGGGAGACTGTTATAAACTAAAAGTCCATTGGAGTAAACTGGGAATTTGGGGTATGGTAGCTTTTCAATGGCTGAACTGTTTCCCAGGAGGATGAGGAAAGCATCTCTTCCTCCAGATGGAAGAGTAGAGTAGTATCCATATGCAAGGTCAAGCCCATCTCTTCCTGCTGGGTCTGCAACTGACAAGAAGTGTTGGGGCCAAAACCTCCCAACTCCATTTTAGTGAGGTTTTCTGTTGCTAATTTTCACAGTACTAAAAATGCACAACACTCCCACAGTCTCAGGGCTTATAGTTCATGAGAGGAAATACTAAAGAAAATCCATATCAGAGTCAATTTTGTAAGGGTTCTTACACTAAGTGTTATGGAAAGCACAGAATCTCATGCAGTACAGAATAGGGCAAGCTTCCTAGAGGGTGTAATGCTTTCATTTGTCTTGACAATAAGCAGAGATCAGGCATGTGAATATGGAGAAAGAGTGTTCTAGGCAGAGCAAGTGGCATGTGCAAAAATACAGAAGCTCGAGAAGCCTGACACACTTAGAGAAGATAAAGTCATGTGATACAGATAGAATGAAGAATGCAGACTGGTGGGTGGTAACTGATGAGGCTAGAGAAGATAGCCAGGGTCTCATCATGAGAAATGTGTGTCCCATGCCAAGGAATATACTCTTTACCCTGAAGGCAGTAAAGAAAGTGGGCAATATTGGGGTCAGGGAGTTTAACTGGGGGTCACTATTGATGATCAAAGACAGAGATCTAGAGATACCAGCTAATGGAGAGAGAGCAGAATGCAGTGATGGTCTAATAAATGTGGTGGCTCCCCATGTTTATATGCATAAGAATCAGCAGGGGAGCACTTCTAAAATACAGATGTCTGGACCCAAACCAGACCTACTTGGACTTTATATTTTTTTTCAAAGCTCCCCTGAGTTCTTATAATGCAACTGGTCCCCTGAATGGTATTTGGGAACCACAATTTTATCCCAAACTGTAGGACAAGAACATAAAAATAGTTTGTCTTACTCATTTCAAGCAATGGAGCAGATAGATATAAGGTCCACCTGAAAGAGTAAAAATTTGGAATGATAGAATATTTTTAAAGAAATACAATTTTATTATTTCCAACTGCTTAGAGTAACTAGCCATGTGAACAAAATATTGATTGGTAGAGGTCAATATAATAATGCTTCACAATGAAAATGACTAATTAGTAAGTTTTTGTAATTCACATTTGTAATAAGGTAATCTATTTTTGCTATATAAGCTTGCTCCCTCTAGTAGATTAAATATTACCCTTATAATCTTTCTCCTTTTTTTAAGATTTTATTCACTTATTGGACAGAGAGAGACACAGTGAGAGAGAGAACACAAGCAGGGGGAGTGGGAGATGGAGAAGCAGGCTTCCCGCCAAGCTGGGAGCCCGATGCAGGGCTCGATCCCATGACCCTGGGATCATGACCTGAGCAGAAGGCAGATGCCTAACAACTGAGCCACTCAGGTGCCTCACCCTTATAATCTTTCTTAAACTTAGATTAGTCTTCACAATGTTTTTATTTTTATAGAGTCAAAGATAAACTTCAGTCCAACCTTTGATCAAAAGATCGTAAATTCTAAATCAGTGCTGTCTGAACTAACTTGATTTTGCTATATAGTCCTCTGATATTCAGAAAATTCCATATTAGGAAAATACTTCATCATATGATCATTTATTTTAAACAGATAAATTGTAGCATATTCTGTCTGCTAGGAAATTCAGACTATCAGTATTTGTGCTTAAATGTATATTTTTAAAGTTGGCTCCACGCTGGGTGTGGAGCCCAATGTGGGGCTTGAACTCAAGACCCTGAGATCAAGACCTGAGCTGAAACCAAGAGTCAGACACTTAAAAAAAAAAAAAAAAGAGCCAGACACTGAGCCACCCAGACACCCTTGGCACTGCTTATATTTTAAATTATGTATGTAAGTTACATTTATCTATTTTGAAAGCTGTGTCTTTCTCTTTTTGGCTTGTCATCTTATTCTGTCTCCACCTTTCCATCCTAAAAGTCCAAATGCATTTTTATTCAATGTACTGTGAAACACCCAAGCTCCCTAGAGATAGAAATTGTGTGTCCTATTTTTGTCCCTAACTCCAAGCTCAGGGCCTGGACAAGAGAGATGATTGATATGTATTTGTTTATTAATAAAAATCATTCTCCCTTTATTACCCTCAGCAAACCCCAGTTTTACCCAGATTTATCTAAACACATAGACATCTGCTTCAGCCAACATAGGAAGAAGTACATATAGAAATAAAGCTCTTTTTTAATAGCTGTATACCAATCAACCATAATTAAGATTATTACATGATCTTCAGGAAAGAAATTTGTGATGTCACCATCAATTATTGACAAATTACACCAGTACAACTCTCAGAGGAGAGTCTTGCCTGGACTCTGAAATTACTATAGGAGCTCAGACATCAGAACCAGTTCTCATCACTCCAAGTGCCCTTAAAAGTGACCTGACAGAGGAGCCAACCACATTTCAAAGCCACTTTATTGGTGCTCGAAAAAACTAACATGTTGGCTATAGTACAACAATCTTAGTTTAGCTATTCCAAATCTATGACTGGTTTAGTAAGATTTACCCTCATGACCTATAATCCTAGCAACAGAGGCAAACGTGTTGAGCACTTATTTGAAGTCAGGCTTTGTGCTAAGCACTTTGTCTAATCTCAGCCTGATAACAATTGTTCAATGTTGTGATTATTAATGAACCCCATTTTATAGGAGAAACTGAGGAAATTGACTTAAGTGACTTGCCCATGGCTATAAAGTCATTAAGGGTGGTAGAATCAGGATATAAACCCCATCTGACACCAGGGCTCTCATGTTTAATTCTACTCTGTACTAATAAAATTACCTGGTCTTGAGAAAAAAAATTGGTATTTCTTTGCCTCATGAAATACAGTTGACCCTTGATCATCACAAGGGTTGGGGCGCTGAACCCCACACAGGTGAAAATCTATGTATAACTTTTGGCTCCCCCAGAACATAACTACTAATAGCCTACTGTTGACAAGAAGCCCTACCGATAACATAGTCGATTAACACATACCTTGTATGTTATGTGTATTATATACTGTATTCTTACACTAAAGCAAGCTGAGAAAAGAAATGTTATTAGAAAATCCTAAGTACTGTGAAACACCCAAGTATAAGTGGACCCACGCAGTTCAAACCCATGTTGTTTGAGGGTCAACTGTATTTCCAAGTTTGAGAATTTGGTTGGGTAGGGAAGTCAGGCACTTAGTCTTACCAAGGACATTGTATTTGACCATGTTGAAACATCCAGAAATAGTTTACATATCAGTATGACTCTAGTATTATGCAATTTGAAGCTCCTGCCTTCCGCATTCCTTCTATCTCTCTTTCTCATTCATTCACTCATCCATTCATTCATCCATGCCTACCCCAGGCCAAGATGAGGCCTTTTGAACATGAACAGGAGCAATGCCTTTAACTTTCCTAGTCCAGAATCAAGGCTCCGATGATACTGTTGTTACAGTTTCAGGAGAATCCTTATAAACAAAGACTTATTTAGCAAGTATTCTACATACCGCTCTTAAATGACATAATCTGAGTACAAACATTGTTTTAGCTTTGGTACTCATATTGGTACTAATAATCTTGAACTTAGCACATAGTGAGGCCCAATGCATATAAAAAACTTTGCTGATAAAAGAGGTGAGATCCCATGGTTTACTCTTTTTTAAGGCTTTGAGATCAGGGTCAGCCAGCTTTCTAGGTGATTAGAGTTCAGTGTGGTGTTAACTGTGTGTAAGTGTTTGAATGCTAAGGGAGTTTGCATTAAAATATGAAGGGGTTTCCCTCTCATACACAAGGATACAATGACCCTGAACTCTGGATGAATAAATCATGGTATTTTAATTTTCAACCACTAGCCTCAAATTGCTCAGAAGCATTTACTGAGGATTTCTTGGGTGACATTATTTAAATTTTCTTATGCAAGCCTCTTTGATAACCTGCTGATTTCAGTGTGCTTAGAGGAAATTATAAACTCAACCATATTATGAGCTTCCTCCAGTTTTAACAAAGAATACTCACCAACATTTATATTCAAGTTTAAGATCTGATTGGTACTAATGCTTTCACTTTTATCACTTGAGGAAGGTTGATTTGCATAAAGCATAAAATGAAGGGAGGGCATTCAAATTAAGATGTGAAAACTACCTGCCCCCAGAAGTATTCATTTTTTTTTAAATTTTTATTTATTTATTAGAGAGAGAGAGAAAGAGACAGAGCATGAGCATGAGCGGGGGGGGGGGGGGGGGGGAGGAGACAGAAGGAGAAGCAGACTCCCCGCTGAGCAGGGAACCCCACAGGGCTCAATCCCAGGATCCTGAGATCATGACCTGAGCCAAATGCAGAGGCTAAACTGACTGAGCCACAGAGGTGCCCCAGAAGTATTCATTTTAATTGAAATTCTCCATTATGTTTTCTGACCAGTGCCCCAGAATTTATTGGTTCCTAAAGGAAGGTGGGTATAGTCTCCCAGGGAGATTTTTGGAATGGGTCTAATTGTCACAATGGCTGGCATTAAATAGGTAGAGACCTAGGATGCTAAATATCCTGCAATGTGCCAAAAGGAGGATTGTCCCCACTCCCATTCCCACCAATGGTAATAGCCCCTCCAGGGAGCAACACTGGAGGGCCCTAACTGGGCGCTATCTCATGGGATGATGATGTTATACCCCATTACCCAGACACTGCCATCACGCTACAACAATGAAAGAGAATCACATCTCCCAAGGGTTAGATTTGGAAAAAGTGTAAAACACTAAGGGATTGTTATAAATGCAACATGACTATCATTCTTTTTTATTTGATTCTTCAGGAAAATGTTGAAGATGGCCGAGCAAATATCTACCAATCTGTCATCACCAACACCAGCAAAGAAATGTCTTGTTTCAGTGATTTTCCAATGCCTGAAGACTTTCCAAACTTCCTGCACAATTCTAAGCTCCTGGAATATTTCAGAATTTTTGCCAGAAAGTTTGATCTCCTAAAATATATTCAGTTCCAGGTATTGTATTTTGGGGAGAATGGTTTTCTCTACATGGGTTCAGCTCACATTTAAATAGAGAAGTTACTCTGGTAATGAAAGAAATTGTGAATAAAACCAAGTGTTCCAATCCAATTCTTTCCTGGAAGATAAGAGCATGATAGAAGACCTAAAAGGCAGTGATATTAAAGATTATGTACACATTAGCAAAGAGGAAAATCACCTGTTAAAACTAAGGGTTTGAATAATGATGATATTGATGAAACTGCAATTAAGCTAATACCTATAACCACTGCAGACTCCTAGCCTCATTTCCCTTGAAAGGACAGAAGAAAAAAATCAAACTACTATTTCATTTCCTGATCTTCTCTGTAGAAATGGAATTTCTAAGAAAAAAATGTACTAAATAAGCTCACAGTTCTCCATTTCATAAGCCTGTAGAAACTATTTTTGGTATTTGGGGGCGGGGGGTGGGCATGATGCATTCTCTAGCAACATAAGGATGGCAGGATCATTTTGAAATACAATTATAACTACCTTTCCTGTGTTACCTCAAAAACAAATAATCAACAAGAAAACAATATTCTCACTAAATATGCTGAATTTTTATCAATAACCTACACTCTGAAAACTAGTAACTGTGCTTAGTAAATAAAATTAAATTATATCTCTGAATAAATGTTAGTGAGTTAAAATTTTTTTTTAATTTAAATTCAATTTAGTTCAGGGGTAGAATTTAGTGATTCATCAGTTGCATATAACATCCAGTGCTCATTACATCAAGTGCCCTCCTTAATTCCCATCACCTAATTACCCCATGTCCCCACATACCTCCCCTCCAGCAACTCTGTTTGTTACCTGTGGTTAAGAGTATCTTATGGTTTTTCTCCCTCTCTGTTTTTATCTTATTTTATTTTTCCTCCCCTTCCTCGATGTTCATCTGTTTTGTTTCTTAAATTCCACATATGAATGAAATCATATGGTATTTGTCTTTCTCTGACTGATTTATTTCACTTAGCATAATATGCTCTAGTTCCATCCACATCACTGCAAATGGCAAGATTTCATTCTTTTTTGATGGCTGAGTAATATTGCATTGTGTGTACATAACTACATCTTCTTTATCCTTTCATCTGTCAATGGACATCTGGGCTCTTTCCATAGTTTGGCTATTATGGACATTGCTGCTATAAACATTGGGGTGAATGTGCCACTTCAAATCACTATGTTTGTATCCTTTGGGTAAATACCTAGTAGTGCAAATCCTGGGTCATAGGGTAGTTCTATTTTTAACTTTTTGAGGAACCTCCATACCATTTTCCAGAGTGGCTGCACCAGCTTGCATTTCCACCAACAGTGTAAGAGGGTTCCCCTTTCTCCACCTCCTCACCAACATTTGTTGTTTCTTGAGTTGTTAATTTTATCCATTCTGATCCCTGTGAGGTGGTATCTCACTGTGGTTTTGATTTTTATTTCCCCAATACTGAGTGATGGTGAGCATTTTTTTCATGTGTCTGTTAGCCATTTGTGTGTCTTCTTAGAGAAATATCTGTTCATGTCTTCTGCCCATTTCCTGACTGGAGTTTTTGGGTTTGGGGTGTTGAGTTTGATAAGTTCTTTATTGATTTTGGATACTAGCCCTTTATCTGATATGTCATTTGCAAATATCTTCTCCCATTCTATTGGTTGCCTTTTAGTTTTGTTGATTATTTCCTTTGCTGTAAAAAAGCTTTTAATCCTGATGAAGTCCTAATAGTTCATTTTTGCTTTTGTTTCCCTTGCCTCTGGAGATGTGTCTAGCAAGAAGTTGCTGTGGCCAAGGTCAAAGAGGTTGCTGTCTGTGTTCTCCTCTAGGATTTTGTTGGATTCCTGTCTCACATTTAGGTCTTTCAGTGAACTAATTTTTTTTGTAACACTTCTCATTTTCTCAGTAATTTCAGTTTTGTTCCAGGTTTGTATTATATGAATTTATAATAGCTGATTGTGGTGGAAATCTATATTTATAAATGCCATTAAAATGTATCTAAGGTACTACATTAGAAAACTATTACCCATCTCCTGGGGGATCCATCTTATGAATAACAGATCTTTTTATACCAGAAGTGGGTCTTTGTCCATTCGATTATCAATTTATTTAACAGATATACTGCCCTCTTATGGTATGTACTTTTTATTATCTGTTCTTTGAAAGATCAGGTTAAAGTTGTAAGAGAGCTATTTCTCTTATTTATTGTATTACTGCTGTTCAGTTTCCTGAAGGTTAGAGAGGAGTTAGGGACACTCATTTCCATTATTGGTCTCTGAGTTGGTATTAGCCATAAGATGTTAGGCTGTAAAAGGTTCTGTTGCATTTCTAATAAACTCCTGAGTGAATACTGAAGGTGTTGGTTCTCAAACCATATCTTGAATAGCAATAATCCACAGTACTTTAGCTAATCTACTACCCTAAACTGTAAATCTGAAATCTTTAATCTCAGCCAAAATTGCCCAGACATTTTATAGTCCTTTGCAAGCTTTATGCTAATAGTCTGTATATATTTTTTTAATGGAAACAACTTCAAAAATTGCCAAACCAGCATTTTTTTTAAATATCTGAAAATTTGAAAAGCATGTATATGGGACTCAAATACTTATAAGCAGGAGGAACATGCCATTACTCTAGGAGTGAGAAAAACTTTGCTTCCACTTGACATTGTTTCTTAAACATCAAAGATGTAAAACCTTTATGGATACTTTAAAAAATTCATAGCCCTTCAGACAGTGAGCTACATAAAAAAAATTAATGAACATAAATTATTTCATCCAAATGAGATCATGAACTATATTGCTAACATGATGTACTCTGTTTGAAAAATAATAACATGAACAACTACCATTCATAGGATGCTAACAATGTGCCAGACACGATGCAAAGTGCTTCACATGAAATATCTTCTCTAATACAGAGTCTGCACAGAGGTGGACACATAAAAGATTCTTAATAAATACTGACTATGTGACCATTTGAATGATGGACATGTGTTCTATATCTTGCCCAGACTTTGTGTCTTTTATGTCTCTCTCTCGAGTCCTTATTCAATTTTTAGCAGACTGGTTCCCATGGCTGAGTCTTGCACAAAGTACCATATCCTTGGTAGCTCCCCACCAAAGAAGAATGAGAAGGGGACACTTAGCAGTCTTTGCTTTAAGCATTTTGAACTGGATTCATATGGAACCTAAATGGAGTCACACCTTGCATTCTACCCATTCCCACTCCCAGGGTACTGTTTGAAGCCCCTGTTATGCCAGAGTAATGTTCAATTATGCCTTCTCTGTGTTTGTTCAAGACAACTGTCCTCAGTGTGAAAAAATACACGGATTTCTCATCTTCTGGCCAATGGGAGGTTGTTACTGAGAGCAACAGCAAGAAGCAAAGTGCTGTCTTTGATGCAGTTATGGTTTGCAGCGGCCATCACATCCTCCCTCACATCCCACTGGAGTCATTTCCAGGTGAGGCCTGTGGGGATTCCCAGCTTTACAGAGAGGGTGTTGTTGGGGAGGAAAATTTTTTCCTTACCTTTCAACATTCTTTGGGCTTAGTCTAAGAGTTAAATTGACATGAGACAGATTAATAAGAAAAAAATAAAATGCAACCATGCATATAGAGACTCCATAAGAATATGAAGCCCACAGGCAGGCAAGCAATTGCAGCTTACATGCCATTCTGAGCTAAAGAGAAGGATGTAGGGGCTGGGGACTACAAAGGGAAGGATGACAATTCACAGGAAGATGAAAAAGGATAAATGTTTGGTAAACTAATGTTTCCTGGACCACTCAGAAACAGTGGGACACAGAGAGGAATTTTAACAGACTGCTCCTCCCTGTCTACCTCACCTAATTCTATTATACTGTAGTTGTCTATGGTGACAGCTCCCTTCCTGGAGCAGATCCTCTATCTAAATTCTTTTAGGCAGTTGGGGGGAAAGTCAAAGTTTTTCTAAGCCTTCTGTTTCTTAAAAATTATTAGCCTAAAATAATCCACATGCCAAGGAGACACATTTTGAGGTGACAAATTTTGCTCCCCTACAGTGTTCAGGTATTTTATATGGAGGTTGGATTGACAAGCAGAATTAGCTACTGCAACTGGGCGTAATATTAAGATCTGGATAGAGCTAGAAGGATGAAAGTCTCCACATACCATCTTTGTTTCTGTTGACCTCTTTGGGTCTTCATGACACCAGGACTTCAGCAACATCCTCCAAAGTCACTAAACCTTCCGCAGAACTTCAGAGAATTTTCACCCAAATTGGTTCTCTGTTGGAGAGGCCCTTATAGCCATATGCCTACCATGGCCTTTATCTATCCTGCCAAACACCATGACTTTTTTATGTCCTTGAAGACTTTTCCTCAGAGCCATGCTTACAGATGGGTTATTGAGGAGATTCCCTGGAAATAAGTGTTCCTACTGGACAGAGAGAAGGAGAGGAGTGCAAACAAGGGAACCCCACAACCATCTGTCCTGGTAACTCCCAGACCCTTCTCTCAGAGAGCATACTTCCTTCTGAAGGCCCTCAGGGAAACATCTAATACAGTGGTTCACAGTCCAGGCCTCACATTCAAACCATCTGTTGAGCTTCTAACATCCTTATGACTTCCAAAGTTCAATTAGTATAGGGTAGGCTTAGATCATTTAAGGGTTACTCAAGGGATTTTAATATGCAGCCAGGTAAGGGATACCTGGATGACACAGTTGGTTAAGCCTCTCTTGGTTTCAGCTCAGATCATGATCTCGGGGTCGTGAGGTCAAGCCCCCACCCCCCCAATCCCAACTAGGGCTCCATGCTCAGTGAAGATCCTGCCTGAAAATCTCACTCCCTCTCCTTCTGCCCCTCCCTCAAACCCCAACCCCCAGTCGTGCTCTCTCTCAAATAAATAAATTTAAAAAAAAAATATGCAGCCAGGTGTGAAATCTTTTACCCTAAAGCATTGATTCTCAAAAAGAATTACCTGAAGGACTTTTAAAAACAACTTGCAAGGCTCCACCTCTGGCATTTCCAACTCAGTAGATATGGTATCATGAAGCTGAGATTCTGCCTTTCCAACAAGTTCCCAGGTTCCAGTTAAAAACGCTGGTCCAAGGACCACACTTTGAAAACTAATGATCTAAAGGTTCTTTCAAGAAACCCACCATCAAAGACAATTATTTAATAAAGTCATATTTTCCTGGGAAAGATACAGCGAAGCTTATCTTCAAAATGGCTTATCCAGGGGGGCGGAACACAATGGTGGAGGAGTAGGAGACCTGGATTTCGTCTCCTCTCAGGAATTCAGATGGAGAGGGATCAAACCATTCTGAACACCTACAAACTCAACAGGAGATCGAAGAAAAAAATAGCAACAACTCTCTCATCAGAAAAGCAACCACTTTCTGGAAGGTAGGACATGTGGAGAAGTGAATCTGAGGCGATATTCGGGAGGATAGACGGCGGGGGAAGGGCCTCCGTCGGCCACTTCTGGCAAGTGATAGAGCCGTGGAGCACAAAATCAGAACTTTTAGAAGTCGGCTCCGCTGAGGGACATCACTCCGGTGGCTAAGCTGGGGGTGGAACCCTCGCGGGACAGTGTGGTCTCAGGACCCTTGGGGTCACAGAAAGACCGGGAGTACCTGAGTGTGGCAGAGCTCCCAGGTATCGGAGCGGGGAAGCTGGCTGCAGAGATGGAGCTGAGGCACGGGCTCTCAGCTCGGGGTTGCCATAAACCATGATCTGCACCACAGTCGGACCACTGCTCCTTCAGCAGGGACCCAACAAGCGGCAGATCCGGGGAGACTCCCCTTCCTCCCCCGGGAGGAGCAGCGCGGGAGCACACCACAGGGATCTGCTGGGTTTGGAGACTCCACACGGGGTCGGGTGCCAGAGATAGAAACACTCGGACACAGGCCAGGTGAGCACGGAGTGTAGCCAGAGACCGGGGAGACGGGAGTGACTGACTGCTTTTCTCTGGGGCGCACTGAGGAGTGGGGCCCTGAGTTCTCGGCTCCTCCAGGGTGGAGATTGGGAGTCCGCCATTTTCACTCTCTTCCTCCAAAGCTGTACGGAAAGCTTGCAGGTAACAAAAGCTCCTGAGAGCAAACGCGAGCAGATTACTTAGCCCAACTGGGAAAGGGTGGGGCAGTTTGACCTCCAGCAAAGACATTTGGGAACCACAGCAACCGGCCCCTCCCCCAGAAGATCAATGAGAACAGCCAGACAAGACCAAGTTTACCGATCAATGAGAACGGCAGAACTCCAGCGCTAGGGGAATACTGCACATAGAATCCATGGCTTTTTTACCATGATTCTTTAGTCTTTCAAAGTTAATTTTTTTTTTAACTGTCTTTTTTTTTTTTTTGAACTTTTCTTTTTCCCTTTTTCAACCAATATCTTATCAATCCCTTTTTTAAAAAACATTTTTATTTTTCATTTTTAGAGTCATAGTCTATCCCTTCATAGTAGTGACCGTATTTTTGGCATATATATATAAGTTTTTCTCTCTTTAAAATTTTGAGATAGTTTCTTCTAACAGATCAAAATATACCCTAAATCTCTAGTGTATGGTTTTTTTCTACTCTCCTGCCTGATCACATTCTCTCCCTTTTTTTCTTTTCTTTTTTTTTAAATCCTCTTCTTTCTTTTTTCAAACAACTTCTTATCAATTCCTTTTATAAAATTTTTTATAATTTTCATCTTTACAGTCATATTCCATCCCTTCATCATATCAACCCTTATTTGTGTACATACATAAGTTTTTCTTTCTTTAAAATTTTGGGAGGCACTTTCTTCTAACAGACCAAAATACACCCAAAATCTAGTGTGTGGCACTGATCTATGTACCAGCCTGATCATATTTGATCATATTCTGATTTTTTATTGTTTTGTTCTGTTTTCGTTTGTTTTTATCTTTATCTTTTTCTTTTTCTTTTTTTTTTCTTTTTCTTTTTTCTCTCTTTCCGTTTTTTTCCCCCTGCTTCAGGTCTTTTCTGATTTGTTTAGAGTATATTTTCTGGGGACTTTGTTACCCTGTTAGCATTTTGTTCTCTCATTAATCTATTCTCCTCTGGACAAAATGACAAGATGGAAGAAATCACCTCAACAAAAAGAACAAGAGGTAGTACCGACTGCCAGGGACCTACTCAATACAGACATTAGTACGATGTCAGATCTAAAGTTCAGAATCATCAATTTAAAGATACTAGCTGGGCTTGAAAAAAATACGGAAGTTATTAGAGAAACCCTTTCTGGAGAAGTAAAAGAACTAAAATCCAACCAAGTAGAAATCAAAAAGGCTATTAATGAGGTGCAATCAAAAATGGGGGCACTAACTGCTAGGATAAGTGAGGCAGAAGAGAGAATCAGTGATATAGAAGACCAAACGATGGAAAATAAAGAAGCTGAGAAAAAGAGAGATAAACAACTACTGGATCACGAGGGCAGAATTCGAGAGATAAGCGATACCATAAGACGAAACAATATTAGAATAATTGGGATCCCAGAAGAGAAAGAAAGAGAGAGAGGGGCAGAAGGTATATTGGAGCATATTATAGCAGAGAACTTCCCTAATTTGGGGAAGGAAACAGGCATCAAAATCCAGGAAGCACAGAGAACCCCTCTCAAAATCAATAAAAATAGGTCAACACTCTGACATCTAATAGTAAAACTTACAAGTCTCAGAGACAAAGAGACAATTCTGAAAGCAGCTCAGGACAAGAGATATGTAACCTACAAGGGTAGAAACATTACATTGGCAACAGACCTATCCACAGAGACCTGGCAGGCCAGAAAGGACTGGCAGGATATATTCAGAGCACTAAATGAGAAAAATATGCAGCCAAGAATACTATATCCAGCTAGGCTGTCATTGAAAATAGAAGGAGAGATAAAAAGCTTCCAGGACAAACAAAAACTAAAGGAATTTGCAAACATGAAACCAGCCCTACAAGAAATATTGAAAGGGGCCCTCTAAGCAAAGAGAGAGCCTAAAAGCAACATAGACCAGAAAGGAACACAGACAACATACAGTAACAGTCACCTTACGGGCAATACAATGGCATTAAATTCATATCTTTCAATAGTTACCCTGAATGTAAATGGGCTAAATGCCCCAATCAAAAAATACAGACTATCAGATTGGATTAAAAAACAAAACCCATCGATATGCTGTCTGCAAGAGACTCATTTTAGAACCAAAGACACCCCCAGATTGAAAGTGAGGGGGTGGAAAACCATTTACCATGCTAATGGACACCAAAAGAAAGCTGGGGTGGCAATCCTTATATCAGACAAATTAGATTTTAAACCAAAGACTGTAATAAGAGATGAGGAAGGACACTATATCCTACTTAAAGGGTCTCTCCCTTTAAATCTAACAATTGTAAATATCTATGCCCCTAACATGGGAGCAGCCAATTATATAAGGCAATTGATAACAAAAGCAAAGAAACACATCGACAACAATACAATAATAGTGGGGGACTTTAACACCCCCTCACTGAAATGGACAGATCACTAGGCAAAAGATCAACGAGGAAATATAGACTTTAAATGACACACTGAACCAAATGGACTTCACAGACATATTCAGAACATTCCATCCCAAAGCAATGGAATACACATTCTTCTATTCAAAATCTTTGCGATGAAGCAAAGGCAGTCCTAAGAGGAAAGTATATAGCAATACAAGCCTTTCTCAAAAAACAAGAAAGGTCTCAAGTACGCAACCTAACCCTACACCTAAAGGAGCTGGAGAAAGAACAGCAAATAAAGCCTAAACCCAGCAGGAGAAGAGAAATAATAAAGATCAGAGCAGAAATCAATGAAATAGAAACTAAAAGAACAGTAGAACAGATCAAAGAAACTAGGAGCTAGTTCTTTGAAAGAATTAACAAGATTGATAAACCCCTGGCCAGACTTAACAAAAAGAAAAAAGAAATGACCCAAATCAACAAAATCATGAATGAAAGAAGAGAGATCACAACCAACACCAAAGAAATACACACAATTATAAGAACATATTATGAGCAACTCTATGCCAGCAAATTAGATAACCTGGAGGAAATGGATGCATTCCTAGAGATGTATCAACTACCAAAATTGAACCAGGATGAAATAGAAAACCTGAACAGACCTATAACCACTAAGGAAATTGAAGCAGTCATCAAAAATCTCCCAAAAAACAAAAGCGGAGGGCCAGATGGCTTCCCAGGGGAATTCTACCAAACATTTCAAGAAGAATTAATACCTATTCTTCTGAAACTGTTCCAAAAAATAGAAATGGAAGGGAAACTCCCAAACTCATTTTATGAGGCCAGCATTACCTTGATCCCAAAACCAGACAAAGACCCCATCAAAAAGGAGAATTACAGACCAATATTCCTGATGAACATGGATGCAAAAATTCTCACCAAAATACTAGCCAATAGAATCCAACCTTACATTAAAAGGATTATTCACCACAACCAAGTGAGATTTATCCCTGGGCTGCAAGGTTGGTTCAACATCCGCAAATCAATCAACGTGATACAATAAATTATCGAAAGAGAGAACAAGAATCATATGATCCTCTCAGTAGGTGCAGAAAAAGCATTTGACAAAGTACAGCATCCTTTCTTGATCAAAACTCTTCAGAGTATAGGGATAGAGGGGACATACCTCAATATAATAAAGGCCATCTATGAAAAACCTACAACAAATATCATTCTCCATGGGGGGAAACTGAGAGCTTTCCCCCTAAGGTCAGGAATGCAGCAGGGATGTCCACTATCACCACTGCTATTCAACATAGAATTAGAAGTCCTAGCCACAGCAATCAGACAACAAAAAGAAATCAAAGGCATCCAAATCAGCAAAGAAGAAGTCAAACTCTCACTCTTTGCAGATGATATGATACTTTATGTGGAAAACCCAAGACTCCACCCCAAAACTGCTAGAACTCATACAGGAATTCAGTAAAGTGGCAGGATATAAAATCAATGCACAGAAATCAGTGGCATTCCTATACACCAACAACAAGACAGAAGAAAGAGAAATTAAGGAGTCGATCCCATTTACAATTGCACCCAAAACCATAAGATACCTAGGAATAAATCTAACCAAAGAGACAAAGGATCTGTACTCAGAAAACTATAAAATACTCATGAAAGAAATTGAGGAAGACACAAAGAAATGGAAAAACGTTCCATGCTCATGGATTGGAAGAACAAATATTGTGAAGATGTCCATGCTACCTAGAGCAATCTACACATTCAATGCAATCCCCATCAAAATACCATCCACTTTTTTCAAAGAAATGGAACAAATAATCCCAAAATTTGTATGGAACCAGAAAAGACCCCACATAGCCAGAGGAATGTTGAAAAAGAAAAGAAAAGCTGGTGGCATCACAATTCCGGACTTCCAGCTCTATTACAAAGCTGTCATTGTCAAGACAGTATGGTACTGGCACAAAAACAGACATATAGATCAATGGAACAGAATAGAGAGCTCAGAAATGGACCCTCAACTCTATAGTCAACTAATCTTTGACAAAGCAGGAAAGAATGTCCAATGAAAAAAAGACAGTCTCTTCAACAAATGGTGTTGGGAAAATTGGACAGCCACATGCAGAAGAATGAAACTGGACCATTTCCTTACACCACACACAAAAATAGACTCCAAATGTTTGAAAGACCTAAATGTGAGACAGGAGTCCATCAAAATCCTAAAGGAGAACACAGACAGCAACGTCTTCGACCTCAGCCACAGCAACTTCTTCCTTGAAACATCACCAAAGGCAAGGGAAGCAAGGGCAAAAATGAACTATTGGGACTTCATCAAGATAAAAAGCTTTTGCACAGCAAAAGAAACAGTCAACAAAACCAAAAGACAACCGACAGAATGGGAGAAGATATTTGCAAATGACATATCAGATAAAGGGCTAGTATCCAAAATCTATAAAGAACTTATCAAACTCAACACCCAAAGAACAAAGAATCCAATCAAGAAATGGGCAGAAGACATGAACAGACATTTTTCCAAAGAAGACATCCAAATGGCCAACAGACACATGAAAAAGTGCTCAACATCGCTCGGCATCAGGGAAATCCAAATCAAAACCTCAATGAGATACCACCTCACACCAGTCAGAATGGCTAAAATTAACAAGTCAGGAAACGATAGATGTTTGCAGGGATGCAGAGAAAGGGGAACCCTCCTATACAGTTGGTGGGAATGCAAGCTGGTGCAGCCACTCTGGAAAACAGTATGGAGGCTCGTCAAAAAGTTGAAAATACAGCTACCATACAATCCAGCAATGCACTACTGGGTATTTACCCCAAAAATACAAATGTAGGGATCCGAAGAGGTATGTGCACCCCAATGTTTATAGCAGCAATGTCCACAATAGCCAAACTGTGGAAAGAGCCAAGATATCCATCGACAGATGAATGGATAAAGAAGATGTGGTATATATAAACAATGGAACATTATGCAGCCATCAAAAGGAATGAGATCTTGCCATTTGCAATGACGTGGATGGAACTGGAGGGTATTATGCTGAGCGAAAGAAGTCAATCAGAGAAAGACATGTATCATATGACCTCACTGATAGGAATTCTTAATCTCAGGAAACAAACTGAGGGTTGCTGGAGTGGGGGGTGGGGTGGGAGGGATGGGGTGGCTGGGTGATAGACACTGGGGGGGTATATGTTCTGGTAAGCACTGTGAATTGTGCAAAACTATTGAATCTCAGATCTGTACCTCTGAAACAAATAATGCAATATATGTTAAGAAAAAAAAAAAAGAAGATAGCAGGAGGGGAAGAATGAAGGGGGGGAAATCAGAGGGGGAGATGAACCATGAGAGATGATGGACTCTGAAAAACAAACTGAGGGTTCTAGAGGGGAGGGGGGTTGGAGGATGGGTTAGCCTGGTGATGGATATTAAAGAGGGCATGTTCTGCATGGGGTACTGGGTGTTATGCATAAGCAATGAATCATGGAACACTACATCTAAAACTAATGATGTAATGTATGGTGATTAACATAACAATAAAAAAAAATTTTAAAAATGGCTTATCCAGTAAGTTACTGACTTATACTGCGATGTGGAAGCCATCCTTCAATATCTATGTGCCTGGTTTTCAGTTTATTTTAGTTTTTGTTTGCTTCTACAAAATGAGAATGATAAATATTATTCTAATATAATTAGAATTATATTAGTACAACTGTACAAGTACAATAATAACACTTCATAATATGTTCAAAAACATTTAAAAGAATACATGTGCTATATGATATTAAAGTATTACTGTACAGTCCAAAATAAGATAATGGGTAGTTGGAAGCCAGCATCTGACTGCTCTATTCATCAAAACAATTTGTTTAATCTCTAATAAATATGTAAGCTGCAACCTCTGAAATCAACTCTTTTGGTCCTGTTCCATATGCATAAGCTAACATTGCTCATATACTTTATGCTTTGAGTTTGCCAATTGGCCTTGCCATTGTAACTCCCCTAAGAGGTGAGGAGGCAAAACAAATAATTGACTCCAGAAAAGAAAATCTGACAGTGCACTTTTATTGAAATTGACATAATTCATGGACTTCTCTCTTCTTCCCCCTGAAGGTATTGAGAGGTTCAAAGGCCAGTGTTTCCATAGCCACCAATACAAGCACCCAGAGGGACTTGAAGGGAAACATATCCTGGTGATTGGACTAGGAAACTCGGCCTCAGATATTGCCATTGAGCTGAGTAAGAAGGCTGCTCAGGTATGATGCTCTCTGCTTCTCTTGTACCATGGAGGAGAGAAAGGAAGAAGGGCATATTGGAAAATCCCAGCCACATAACCAAGGCTCCATTACTCATTAATTGGTTGGTTGGTTGTTTGGTTGGTTGGTTGATTGGTTGGTTACTATAGTGAGATATCATAAAAAATCTGGAAATCAGGAAGCCAAGGTTTACCTCCCAGCCCTGCACTGATCAGCATGTAATCCAGAGCAAGTCTTTTACTTCTCCGAGCCATACATGTGATATATCATCTACACAGTAGATTCCTCCCAAAAGGGACAATGCCCTGATTTAAACAGCATTCCTTTTTGCTTACCAGGTATTTATCAGCACCAGACATGGTTCCTGGGTCATGGGCCGTATCTCTGAAGATGGCTATCCCTGGGACATTGTGTTCCACACCCGGTTTAGGTCCATGCTCCGAAATGTCCTGCCACAAACAATTCGAAAATGGATGATGGAACAGCAGATGAATCAGTGGTTCAACCATGAAAATTATGGCCTTGAGCTTCAAAACAAGTAGAGTTATTTTGCTTTTTTATGGTATGGTAAGCAAGATTGTCAGAGGCTCCTCTTTATAGTCAAATTGCTAATGCGGTATTTCAAACTACAACCTAACAGTATGAATATCATAGACATCCTGGAATTTGAATTCCAAATTTGTTCTGTATACCTTTTAAAAAGTAAATGCTTAAGAAGATGAAGTAGAAATATTATGAACTTTTTTATGGCTGAGTAAAATTCCATTGTGTATATACACCACATGTTTTGTATCCACTCATTTATCAATGGACAATTAGGTTGCTTCCATATTTTGGCTATTGTAAATAATGCTGCAATGAACATGGGGGTGCATATGTCTTTTCAAATTAGTGTTTTCATTTTCTTTGGGTAAATACCCAGTAGTGGAACTACTGGGTCATATAAATTCTATTTTTAATTTTTTGAGGAACCTGCACACTGTTTCCCACAGTGGTTGCACCAATTTGCATTCCCACCAACAGTGCATTAGGGTTCCTTTTTCTCCACATTCTTACCAACAATTGTTATTTCTTGTGTTTTTGATCTTAGCCATTCTGACAGGTGTAAAATGATATCTCATTGTGGTTTTAATTTGTCTTTCCCTGATGATTAGTGATGTTAAGTTTATTTTCATGTGTCTATTGGCTATCTGTAAGTCTTCTTTGGAAAAACACCTATTCAGCTCTTCTGCCCATTTTTAATTGGATTACTCAGTCATAAAAAGAATGAAATCCTGCCATTTGCAACAACACTGATGGACCTAGAGGGTATAATGCTAGGTGAAATAAGTCAGTCAGAAGAAGACAAATACCATATGATTTGACTCAGGTGTGGAACTTAAGACACAAAAGAAACAAAAAACCAGACTTTGAATACAGAGAACAGTTGCCAGAGAGGAGATGAGTCGGGGGGGGGATGGATGAAATAGACAAAAGGAATTAAGAGTACACTTATCTTAGATGAGCACTGAGAAATGTATAGAATTCTTGAATCATTATATTGTACATCTGAAACTCATATAACACTGTATATTAATTATACATGAATAAAAAAATAAATTTAAAAAAGAAATATTATGAGCTGCTCTAGAAAGCAGAACTAGGATCATGGGAAGAATTTCCTAATACCCAAAGCTGTCCAACATTGGAAAAGGCTGCTTTAAGAGATTGCAGCCTTCCTTTCAGAGGGGTGTGTTGGGAAATGTGTCCCAAATTCTCCATGTGATAACTCATGCTTTGTTAATTCTGTACACCATAAGGATTCTTCCCATGAGCAGCTTTTGAGAACATACTCACTATCTCTTTGCCAAAAAATAAATCTCTACTGAGCTCACTGTTATATATCACTGATCTTATAAACACAAGCAAACAGTATGAATGTTTATTTTTCTTTAGTTGATAACAGACTCCTTCCCGTTAAAAAAATACAAAAACAGAAGAACTTTGGAATCTTTCAACAAAATGCCATGTGACTACTCAGTTCTGAGATCTGATACATGTGGCATGTATTATTTTTTTTAAAAAAAAAGGTTCTCAAATCTACAAAAAGGGGAATTCCATAAATACAACCAGACTTTGCTCTATCACCCATGCCATCACATACAGAGACTCCATGGATATTTGGGATCAACAAATATCCCCAAACTTAATTTTATACATTAGTTTTTATGCTGATCCCTTAATAAAACTTTCAAAACTATTGGGGATTTAACAAAATTTTCCTTTCTTACTTATGATCAGATAGAGATTAATTGGAGCAACAAGATAATTAAAACAATAGTGGAAACATCGATGGGCTATCAATGACTGGAATATTCATGGATTGACCATAGGCGCTGGTATTTGTTTAACCTCCTTTTTTGAAATGTCTTTTTCCCACATCACCTACATGTTTTCTCTTCTTTGTTGAGGGGGAGATTTGTGACATGAGAATGAAGTCAGATAGTAAGGTTTGGGGTAGGCCAACTGGTTAAGTTAGAAAGCTTTATGGATATTTGAGAAACCTCTTTATTCGAAAAGCCAACCCCATAAAATATCAAGAGAGTTTCAAGACTCACTCAACATCATTAAATATTCCTTCTAAGTGTTTTCTTTTTGGTGTTTTAGATATCTTATGAAAGAACCTGTAATAAATGATGATCTTCCAAGTCATATACTCTATGGAGCCATCAAGGTGAAACCAAGAGTGAAAGAGCTCACAGAAACTTCTGCCATCTTTGAAGATGGAACAGTGGAGGAGAATATTGATGTTATTGTCTTTGCAATGGGATATACTTTCTCTTTTCCATTCCTTGAAGATTCACTTGTTAAAGTAGAGGATAAGATGGTCTCACTGTATAAATACATGTTCCCTCCTCACCTGGAGAAGTCAACTCTGGCGTGCATTGGTCTCATCCAGCCCCTAGGTTCCATTTTCCCAACTGCCGAACTTCAAGCTCGTTGGGCAACCAGGGTTTTCAAAGGTATGTGAGTGGGAAAGTGAGGGGCTGAGGGTTTTATACCTGATGGAGTTTGCTCAATAACAAGTTTAGATAAGGAGGCTGCCAGGAAGAAGTTGGTCCACCTTAGGCAGCTCTCGCAAGATTAACATCCTAAAAAGTTAGTGGAGAATTTGAAAAATAACAAATACAGAGATAAGATAATAATAATAATAAAGAGCTGTAATCAACCCTTTGAAATATTAGAAAGTTCAGAGAACTTCAATTTTCATAAAGCTAAATACATATCTTTTCCTGGAATCATGAAAGAATAGTTGAGAAGAGAAAGATCTCTGACTCCTGGTTTTACCTATATGATGTTTATAATTTCCTCTGAATATGTGCAAATCTAGAGACCCAGGGCCTCTACATTAACTTCAAATTAACTCTTAATATGTTAAGAAGCTCAACCTCATGGATCCTTAGAAAGTTATAAACTTATTGAAAGGTTTCTGTCTAAGTACCTGTATAGCACTTTGCATTCCTCAGGAGGCTATTATCTCCCTGACGCCAGGGTTCAATTCAGCTCAACCAGAACTCATTGAATACCTAGCTTTGTTCTGGAACCTGGTGGGATAGAGAGCAATTTAAACAGATCATTACCACATACTAAGATAAATGCTTTGGTAGAGGGATGCATGGAGTGCATGGGAAGAAGAAAAAGGGTGCTTTGCAGCATGTTGGGATAAAGGAGGGCATGCGGCCAAGGAAAACTTGCTAGATGACCAAGTTTCTCGGGTGCAGAAGAGATAATCACTTGAGCCAAACACAGAGGCATGATGGATATGGAGAATTACAAGCTATCTGACATTCCCAGAACATGACATGTAAGGCAGAGAGGGGTGAGAGATTATTAAAGAATAATCTTTCAGTAGAAAGGCCAGGCCACAGGAGCCTTGTAAGGCATGCTAAAAGGCTTACAATACAAAATGTAGATCAGTTCTTTCCAAATCTGGCCACACATAAAAATCATCTGGATCTTGGGCACCTGGGTGGCTCAGTTGGTTAAGCGACTGCCTTCGGCTCAGGTCATAATCCTGGAGTCCCAGGACCGAGTCCTGCATCGGGCTCCCTGCTCAGCAGGGAGTCTGCTTCTCCCTCTGACCCTCCTCCCTCTCATGCTCTCTCTCATTCTCTCTCTCTCAAATAAATAAATAAATAAAATCTTTAAAAAAAAATCATCTGGATCCTTAGGGACCCTGATTAAGTCTGACCTGAGGACCTAGAATCTCCATTTTAGAAAGCTCTTCAGGGGTGCCTGGGTGGCTCAGTCGTTGGGTGTCTGCCTTCGGCTCAGGTCATGATCCCAGAGTCCTGGGTTTGAGCCCCGCATTGGGCTCCCTGCTTGGCGGGAGGCCTGCTTCTTCCTCTCCTGCTGCCCCTGCTTGTGTTCCCTCTCTTGCTGGGTCTCTCTCTGTCAAATAAATAAATAAAATCATCAAAAAAAAAAAAAAGAAAGAAAGAAAGAAAGCTCTTCAGGCGGAGGACCCAATGAAAGGTTATAAGAAAGGAATAGACATCACAAATTTACATTTTCAATAGATATTTCAGCATTAGTGTGAAAGATAGATTTGAAAGCAGAAAAGAATGGGGTCTCTGAGACCAGTGAGAAGGCCACAGCAAGTCCCGGCTGAAACGTGATGTAGCTGAGCCAGGCAGAGAGACAAAGTGGAGAAGACAATAGAAATGTGAGAAATAGTTAGGGATAAAATCCACAGGACATAATGATCAGCTGAATGTAGAAAATCAGAGAGAGAGAGGAATCACAGATGACTTGCAGATCTCTGGCCATGGGAACTGGGTAGACAGTAGGGCCAGGAATAAGGAGAGGACATGGAAGAAGATGCAAGTCTGACCAGGAGAGCTTCTGTGATGGGCTCTGTTTTGGACTCATTGACTCTGGTATATCTGATGACTAGCTATATCCAGGAGAAACTGAACATTTCACCATGTCTGAGAATACCCATAGACAAGGATGGAATCACAAGCACACTGATAAATCCTGCATCAATCTACCTTCTCTGTCCCCACTGATCAACTTTACTCCCACAAGGTTTACTTCAACAGCCTCTCAACTGGTCTTGGTACCTTTAGACTCTTTCCTAGAGCCCATGTCCCGAAATTCGCCAACTAGAAGGATCTTTCCAAAAGGCAAACCTGATCTTGTCACCACCTGCAGAAAACCCTCCCATGGCTTCCCATCACCTTCAAAATAGAGCTCAAGCCACCTGACATGATTTCCAGCTCTTCAGGCTCACCTTCCTACTCCAGTCTCTTCTCTTACACCCTCCACTTCAGAGTTCACACTGTAACCTTAAGGGCAGCATCACATAGAACTCGTCCCACCCTGGAGTTCAACAAAACAGCAGCCCTGATTGGCATAACATGGGTAAATGGCCAAGTTTAATGGTAGGAACCAACTACTAGATAAAGCAATGATATTGAATCAAACCCACTACTCAAACCAGCCTTTTATTTCTAGGCTTGTGTACCTTGCCCTCAGCGAGGACTATGATGGCAGACATTATCAAGAGGAATGAAAAAAGAATCGATCTGTAAGAATTTTTTTTTAATTCTTTACATAAAGCAATGTTTCTCAGGGTATAGTGACCTAACTACCCACAAGAACCACCTACCTGTTTCTTAAAAATGCAAATTCCTGGGTCACAACCCAGACCAACTGAATTGGAACCCCAGGATGAAACTGGAAATTTGTATTTTTATGTTCTCCCTAGGTGATTCTTATACATACTAGTTTAAGAACCAACTACATGAGCCTGGGTGGCTCAGTCGGTTAAGCACCTGCCTTCAGTTCAGGTCATGATCCCCATCGGGTTCCCTGCTCAGCCGGGAGCCTGCTTCTGCTTCTTCCTGTACCCCTCCCCTTGCTTCTGCTCTCTCTCACTTTCTCTCTCAAGTAAATAAATAAAATCTTTAAAACAAAAAAGAACCAACTACATAAAGATAGAAATTTTACCAAATCAGGACATTTTTCCTGGACTTAATTTTATTTCAGTTTTGCATGATGTCCGTGTTAGATTCCACATCTTCTCAGGCTGCCCACTTTCTGTGGTGAGAGAGGAAATGAGTTGGGAGCAGCAGTAGTGACAGTGACCAGGTGTCTCTGAAAAGTTAGTTTGGGGATGTCCTATCAAAGGAAATTAGAAGGAATTGGTGTGAAGTGAAAGTAGATGTATGCTTTGTGATACAGTAAAATGGGGTTCAAAAGTGATCAAGCACCTTGGAGAGTAGACTTGGGGGCCTGACGTCACATGTAGGGGTTGTCTCATGGTCAAATTCTAATTAATCTAACATTTATTGAGTACCTATTATATGCCAGCCAGAGTGCCAACTACTTTAATAATTTAACAAGCAAATAGTAAGCATCTCCTCTGTGCAAGACACTGAGCTAGGCTTTCATCTGTGTTAGCTCATGAATCTTTGCAGCAATCCTGGCTTACTAAATATCAAATAATAATCATGGTTATAAACCTTGTCACATTCCTAAAACTTCCATGAATTCATGGCTATTTATTTTACAGCCTACTCTCAATCTGAGAACTGGGCCTTCTGATGGGATAAGCTCATACCTTCCACCAGAGATTCACTGAAACCTCATTTACTCACTCACTCATCCCTATTTTGCAAATCTGCCCTTTTTCACTTTCTTCATTAAGGTTTGGAAAGAACCAGAGCCAGATACTTCAGACCAATTACATCGACTACTTGGATGAGCTCGCCTTAGAGATAGGTGCAAAGCCAGACGTCCTATCTCTCTTGCTGAAAGACCCCAAACTGGCTGTGAAGCTCTATTTTGGACCCTGCAACTCCTACCAGTACCGCCTCACTGGGCCCGGGCAGTGGAAGGGAGCCAAGAGGGCCATCCTCACCCAGAAACAACGGATATTGAAGCCTTTAAAGACACGGGCACTAAAAGCTTCATCTGATATCCCGGTTTCCTTTCTGTTGAAAATTGTGGGGCTTCTTGCTATTGTTGTAGCCCTTTTTTTTCAGCTTCAGTGGTTCTAATTGGTCAGCATAAAGCTTTTGATTTTAGTGTCAGTCAGTTCCTCTTAAAAAAAAAAGACAAAGAAAAAATATGAAATCTAGATTCTATATTTCAGAGTCGAGAGGAACAGAGAGAGGCGGTTGTAGAGAATTAGCAGAATTAGGTCCATGTTAAAACACTAAAATGGTGTCATGAAATTTCTTTGCCACTCCACCCTTCCCTCAAGTTCATCAGACTCTCCAAAAGGACAATTAAATAGCACTGGCTAAATAGTGTTGCCAGGCCCCATATAAGAGGGTTGTGTGGAAAAAATAGAAATACGCAGAATGAAAAGCAAGCCCCATGGTTTAAAACATTGGAAAATTTCAATGGTGGGTAAATATTTAAACTCTTGCATGATGTTCTTGATAGTCTTCCTACCCGGACTCTTTTGGTAACAAAATTCTCAGGTGTTAGGTCATGCTCCATATCCTTATCAGGGAGTCACTCAAAAATCCTGGAGGAAAATATGAGAGGCTAGACTCGAAAGCGATGGTGATGATCAGACAGACTCCTTGGGCCTCATGGTGAAAGCAAAGCCAATAGGCACATTTCTTATGTTTTGACAGAAACACTGCTATAAAAATAAAAATAAACCTGCAGTAACAGCTATATACACATTCAGTACTTTCCATAGACCAGACATTGTGCTCAGTGCACACTGTATGTATTAACTTCATTTAAATCTCACAATAATTCTGTGAGATGGATGAGGCTATTCTACCCATTTTATAGATGATGAAACTGAGACTCAGAGCAGTTGGGTAACATGTTCAAGACCATACAGCTGGTCTTGCCGGGCAGCCAGGATTGGAACCCAGTTTTGCTTGATTCTGGAACTGTGGATCATAACCTTTCCCCAGAATATACTTATTTACAAAACAACTATTGCAGATAAAGTACTTACTAACAGTTTATTTTATTTATAATCACATATATGTTGCTTTTGGAGGAACTTAACACAGATAACAGCACACTTCTTGCAAATATGATCAATTAATTTTATTCATAATATTTTGGTTTATAGTCCAGTCAGATCTAAAAAGCATTTGATGGAATTTACAATGAAACATACCTAGGGCGCCTGGGTGGCTCAGTTGGTTAAGCGACTGCCTTCGGCTCAGGTCATGATCCTGGAGTCCCGGGATCGAGTCCCGCATCGGGCTCCCTGCTCGGCAGGGAGTCTGCTTCTCCCTCTGACCCTCTTCCCTCTTGTGCTGTCTCTCATTCTCTCTCTCAAATAAATAAATAAAATCTTTAAAAAAAAAAAAAAAAAAGAAACATACCTATACAAGAACATTTAAGATGATCATTGACATTTTGAAAAAACAAGCATTGAGGACGAAGTATATGTCCCAAGTAGATGAAAAGCATTATAATGATTGAGCCTTGTATTTAGCTCTCACCTATAGGTAAACAAGGCAAAAAGTGAAACAATATGTAATCTCCGTCATTTGATAAAAGGAAGCATACCAGTTTGTTAGACACATTTTCTTGGAACTGAAATCTAAAAAAGATACAAGCAATTCAGTGTCAATAGACATTGAGCAACAGAATAAACAGATGGTTTATCAACCCACTACAGCCATTCTTTCCATGAACTGTGCTTTGGAAGATAAGCTATGCCCTAAACCCAGCCCAAGGACTTTTGAAGAGGGAAAAGGTCAGAGATTAAAGATTTAGGCAAATTTCTCCTCTTACTCTTCCAAAGTCTGTGCAGACATTGTTCTTTCCTTTGGCCTGGATTTGTCTCTAAAGTGCCCAGACCAATGTAATGGCAATCTCTGTCAGTGGAAGCTTTATTTCTTTAAAGTCCATTGAAATGGACTTGTTTCATTCATCATTACCACTACCCAGGGAAGTAACTATGGTCATTATCCTACTCCTACAGTGGACTAGATTGGGAAACAAGTGTCGGGTTGATACCGAATCAGTGGGGAAAAATAGCTCCATTAGGACAAAATTATTATTAAATGTATAACCTTGAAATTTTTAGAAAGAGCTTAAACTCTTGAAAGTTTTCCAAATATTCTATCTTTTAAAAAACATAAACAGTTCATTTCCAGAGTCTGAGATGACTAAGAAAGACTCATCCAAGTTTATTCTTCTGCCTCTATACACCAGGAAACAGGAAACTATCCCAGACAAACCAACTAGGATAGTTTGTTCCAAACTACGACCCACAGACTACCTGCATCAGAATATCTCAGGGAGCTTATAGAAGGGCAGATTTTTAAATACAAATGCAGTAATAATTCAGACCTGCTGAATGAGAGTCTCCCCTGGAATTTCCAGTCTTGACAAGCTCCCTAGAAGATTCCTGTGCACATTAAACTTAAAAACCATTGGTTTGAGGTATCGCCAAAAAAGCTGCTTTCAGAGATCAGTCCATGACTTTTTCCGCTCCTCAGGGCCAAATTCTCCCTTCGGTTCAGCCTTGGTGCTTCTAGTTGCAATTTACGATGTTCTTCTCCTGTAAAGAATGTTAACGTTATCACCCTCCTCCCAAATCTCCCCCTGCGATGTTCCCTTTACTAACCTTTCATTTTAACTACCCTTCTCTCTGTGATAGCTACTCAGTTTTTCTTACCAAAAGCCAAATATGTCCCATTTGCTCATTGCAGAAAAGTTAAGATATTTTAAAAATAAAACTCTTGGACTGCGACATGTAACAAAATTTCTAATAATAAAGATTTCAAAAGCTTAACCCACAAAGAATCCAATGTTCATATTACAGTAAGGATGGCAAAGGAAGATCCTTCCTTATAACTGGCTGCTTCCTTCGTCCTGGAAGATGCTGCTACACCAGTACAACCCCCAATGCAGAGCTGTTGGCCATTTTCTGGAGGCGGAATGTGTTTACACAGAACATAACTCACTTTCTTGTCTGGTCTGCCTTATGACCAGATTATGGATCAATGAAGCTTAAAAAAAAAAAAAAAGTCTCTTGGGATTAGATTCTTGTAATCCAGGTCAGAAGCTGAAATGAGATTGAACATGCAAGGCTTTATTAAGGAAAATGCCTGTATGAGGGGGAAAATAGGGAAAGTGCAGGAAGTAATCATCAGAGAGTCTGCCTCTGAATGAAGGAGAGACAAAAGAAGGTTGGGGTAGAAACATCCCTGACTGCTGTGCAGTCCAAGGAAGATGCAGCAGAGCCACTGGGGAGTCCTCAAGCCATCAAAGAATCCTGACTCTCCCACGTGTATGGCTGGCAGCAACTCCTGGGAAGGGGGCCTGGGCACAAGTGCAACAATGTATCTCACACACAACAGCTAAAGCCCTTAGTCAATTACACAACCTGTGCTTAGAGATCCATGAAGCACACTCTCAGGCTCATAATGTCATTTTTTGTATTTTTTAACTAATTGAATTACAAGCTTTAAATTAATTTGCCTACCTAGTCATTTGTCGCTTCCACAGCTACTCTAAGACATTGGTGTGCCTTCCCCTTAATCCAAAGCTTCCAGTTCCCTAGAAGCCAAGACCTGAAGGTGTTTGTGAGGGCACCAACAAAGAGGTGCTGTAAGGTCTTCCTTTCTGACTCCTTTTCTCAGAAACCTTCAGCAGCTCCTCATCACCTCCTTTGTCATTCAAGATTCTCTACACTAGCTGTAACCTACCTTTCCAGCCCTACCTCCCGCCATTTTGCCCCCATACCTGCCCACCACCTAACCACTGCCTCACCATTCTAAAAAGTGCTGCACTTAGGCTTGCTTCATGCTACCCACTATGGCCTCCCAGACCCCAATAGTTGAGATTCCTGCAACACTAGGTGAGAGGGTATTCTCCTCAAGCTTTCCTCAGTCCCTCCAGCCAAAAGACCTCTCCTCCACCTCTTTATTACCAAACTATTTTGTTTCAATTCTGCAATAATGTTTACACTCTTGCCTTTTTGCTGGCACTAATGGCAAAAATGACAATTTTATGCCTAGGAGCCACCAAATCCAACTTCTGGAAAATAGAGAGCTTAAGACACTTTATCACTCTTCAGGGTCATGCAATAATAGGATTTATACTTTGGAACCAAAGGGTTACTCCAAGTCCTTAGGTCATTTTAAGGATGGAGGGGATAAACAGAATGCTCTCAGATAAGAAAACTGGGCATTGTTTAGGGCCACATAGCAAGTCATGTCCCTGATGTTTCTTCCAATAACAGGTCGAACATACCACGGTAAAGACTGGTTGCTTCACCCTTGTGGATGGGTATCTAAAACTTGTATTTTTACACCTAACTGTCCACCTATATATGTCACATATTCTGGGAGAGGGATTTTAATTGCAACTATTAAAAACAGTTTTATTCTTAGACATTGCTGTACTTTGTGCTGCTGGGCAGTGGAAAGTAATTGATGTCAATTTCTCTTGGTGTTGAACTACTTCTAACAACCTAAGTAACTTGGATAAAATAATTAAAAGCCATCACTTACTCATCATTTATTATGTTGTAGGTGCTATAATGAAATCAGTTTTATTTCTTTAATCTTCAAACTCATTTTATGCATCAGGAGATGGAGACTCAGAGTAGTTAAATGACCTTCCCAAGTTATGTGGTCTGTAAGTGGGTCCAGCTGGGTTTTCCTGTCACCACGGCCTCTGCAGTCTACGCTATCTGACAGTGTACCAGATAATGAGTCGGGGGGTAGGGGGGGAGTCATTTATTATTTGTTTTTCAGTATCTGTCTTATATCCAAGATAAAATTTTAATTTTAATCAGGTCTCAACTGGTACCAAAAGATTGGGATCATTTCCTGCATATTTTCAGACCATAATGTTTGAAACTTGAACTCAATCACAAGAGGAAATTTGGAAGGATCCCTTATCCCTTAATAAGTAACCCTTATCCCTTCAGGTATGTGAGTTCCTTCCAAATTTTGGACCCAAAGACACCTCCAGATTTATCATGATACTGGACATCAAAAGAAAGCTGGGGTAGCAATCCTTATACCAGAAAATTAGATTTTATTTTTTTTAAACCAAACATTTAATATTTTAATTAAGTTTTGTCAATACAATTTCAAGCAAGTACCAACTGAAGACCAGGCCTAGGAATTCACAAAGGAAACAATCTTCCAAACAGCAAGGAACACCAAGGTGATCTTCCACTTCAGATGCATTATTAGTGGCCACAGTGGTGCCAGCTGGCCAGCGTTTATCCAGTTACCGAGTGTTTACCACATCATCAATTTTCAGAATGCTCCGGACAGTTTCAGTTGCTAGAGTCAGTGCACTGACTGAAACCAACAAAGGCTGGACAACCAGTTCCTCCAAAATGTTGGAAATACCACCCTTTCGGACATTAATGCCAGTAGTTTTTTCTCCTTGGGCATGCCAGTTTCTTAGTTCTCTTATGGGATTCAGGCCTGCATTTTCAGCTAGTGTAGATGGAATGACTTCCATAGCATCTGCAAAAGCACGAACGCAGTAGGATTCCATGCCACTCAATGTTCATGAATATTCAGTTAACCATAGGGCCAATTCTATCTCTGGAGCACCACCTCCTGCAATAAGATCTCTCTTCTTCACTAAACAGCGAATAACACATAGGGCATCATAAATGGAGTGTTCAGCTTCTTCAATCACCTATTTGTTAGATCCACAAACAACAACTGTAACTGTTTTTCCAGGGCTTGTACAGCCTGTAATCTTGAGCAGTTTGCCAGAACCATTTAAATTGACTTCCTCAGCTAACTCAGCTGATCCCAGCACGTCAGCAGTGAATTGGTCAATATGAGCAACTGGCTTGGTTCCAATTGTCTTACAAATGAATTCGATGTCTTCTCTTTCAATATCCTTAACCACCATAATCTTCATTTTGTTTAGGAAATGTAATGCAAGATCACTAAGAGCATCTCTCAGAATAGACTTCTGTATGAGAAGGACATTACATCCTGTTTTTTTAATTTGCTTCACTAAATTGAGAATATAGGCTCTCTCCTCCCACAGCACTTGGTCCATCTGGACATAGTCAGAAACTACTATTTGATTATCCATATCCGTTTTGGGAGCAGATAAGCAAAACTGGGTAAGCCCAATCTTAGCCTTTTCAACTCTGGTTATGCCAGAATTTGCCACCTTTTGAGTAAGTACCAGCCTTTCAACCAGTTCACAGTCATCAATTGTCCCACCAAGTTTCTTAACGATTTTAATGTCTCTAAGATCTACACTAGTAGCCGTGGCTGGGTCAATCACTTTCATCACTCCATTTACACTCATTGGAGAAAGCAGACTTGAATACTGAGAGACAACCTTTGAGTTCAGTGAAGTGATGGCACTATTTAATAAAGATTCTCTGTCACTCAGTTGCACAGGTCGAGACATGTCAGTCAAGATTTCTATACCCTTTTCCAAAGCCTTCTGGAATGACTCAGAAATGATGGTTGGATGAATCCCTTTCTGAAGAAGCTTGGTACAGGAATCTAAGAGAGAGCCAGCAATGATGACTACTGATGTGGTGCCATCTCCTGCTTCTATATCTTGTGCCTTAGACAGCTCCACCAGCATTCTGGCTGCTGGATGTAACACCTGCATTTGTTTCAGAATGGTGGCCCCATCATTTGTAATGGTCACACCACCTTTTCCATCTTGAATCATTTTATCCATTCCTTTTGGTCCAAGGCTTGTTCTAATAGCATCAGCAACAGCTTTGGCCATAGAGATGCTGCTGAAGCGGATCTGGGCCAGCTTGTCACGGCCCTGATAGGCACTTTTGCTGCCACCGCTGGCAGTCCCAGCAGGCACTCCCACTCCGAGGTGCCACGTTCTCAGGCATGGCAAACTTGGCTGGGTCTGCGTGGGCTTGGGAAGGACGGATGGACCCAGATTCCAGCCGGCTGTGGAGCAGCAGAACACTCCCACGGCCTTCACGAAGCTTGCAGAGAAAATTAGATTTTAAACCAAAGACTGTAATAAGAGATGAGGAAGGACACTATATCCTACTTAAAGGGTCTATCCAAAAAGACAATCTAACAATTGTAAATATTTATGCCCCTAACATGGGAGTAGCCAATTATATAAAACAATTAATAACAAAATTAAGGAAACACATTGATGATAATACAATAACAGTAGGGGACTTTAACACCCCCCTCCCTGTAATGGACAGATCATCTAGGCAGAAGATCAAAAGGAAACAAGGGCTTTGAATGGTACACTGGACCAGATGGACTTCACAGATATATTCAGAGCATTCCATCCTAAAGCAACAGAAAACAAATTCTCCTCAAGTGCACATGGAACGTTCTCCAGAATAGATCACATACTGAGTCACAAATCAGGTCTCAACTGGTACCAAAAGATTGGGATCATTTCCTGCATATTTTCAGACCATAATGTTTGAAACTTGAACTCAATCACAAGAGGAAATTTGGAAGGAACTCAAATGCATGAAGGCTAAAGAGCATCCTACTAAAGAATGAACAGGTCAACCAGGAAATTAAAAAGGAATTTTTTTTAAATTATGGAAACAAATGAAAATGAAAACACAATTGTTCAAAATCTTTGGGATGTAGCAAAGGCAGTCCTAAGAGAGAAGGATATAGCACTACAAGCCTTTCTCAAGAAACAAGAAAGGTCTCAAATACACAACCTAACCCTACACCTAAAGGAGCTGGAGAAAGAACAGCAAATAAAGCCTAAACTCAGCAGGAGAAGAGAATAAATAAAGATTAGAGCAGAAATCAGAGACATAGAAACCAAATGAACAGTAGAACAGATCAATGAAACTAGGAGCTGGTTCTCTGAAAGAATTAATAAGATTGATAAACCCCTGACCAGAAAAGAGAAAGGACCCAAATAAATAAAATCATGAATGAAAGAGGAGAGATCACAACCAACACTAAAGAAATACAAACAATTATAAGAACATATTATGAGCAACTACATGCCAACAAATTAGGCAATCTGGAAGAAAAGGATGCTTTCCTAGAGACAAAAAAAAACTACCAAAACTGAAACAGGAAGAAATAGAAAACTTGAACAGACCCATAACCAGCAAAGAAATTGAAGCAGTAATCAAACATCTCCCAACAAACAAAAGTCCAGGGCTGGATGGCTTCCCAGGGGCATTCTACTAAACATTTAAAGAAGAATTAATACCTATTCTTCTGAAGCTGTTTCAAAAAAATAGAAATGGAAAGAAATTTCAAACTCATTCTATGAAGCCAGCATTACTTTGATCTGACAACCAAAGACTCCACCAAAAAGAATTACAGATCAATATCTCTGATG